CATACCCCAATAATATGTATTTTCTGGATTTTGAATCTAGCTTTATAATTTCTTAGGCATTGTACATTGCGTACACTAAACTTCCAAATATATGGAGGTTGGAATATTCAACTGGCTTTCTGATCCACATCTCCATCGGTGTCTTTAACTGTATTACGGTTGATGAAGACTGATTCACCACATAAGAGGCAGTTTTTACTGCTTCCGTCCAAAAGACTTTATCCAGATTTGCAGTTACCAACATTGCTCTTGTTCTTTTTAACAGAGTTCTATTTATCCGCTCCACCATTCTATTTTATTGAGGAGTATAAGCAGTACTGAATTATCTTTTGATGCCTTCTTATTTGCAGAATGTAAGAAATTCACCGTCTATTTATTCTCCTCTATAATCTAACCTCAAGCACTTGATTTTCTTTTCAGATTCAATCTCGACTTGCACTTTGTAGGCTTTAAAGATTGAGAACACATCCGCCTTCTTCTTGATAGGATACACCCAACATCTCCTGGAGTAATCATCAATAAAAGACATAATATTTTGCTCCTCCCATGGATGTAACTGGTGCTTGTCATATATCAGAATGAATCAGTTCTAGAATAGCATTGCTTCTAGAACTTGATGTGTTGAACTTCAATCGATGCTGCTTACTTATAACACAATGCTCGCAGAATGGAAGAGCTACCGAATTAAGTCCAAGAAGCAGCTTCTGATCGGAGAGAATCTTCAAGCCTTGTTCTGACATGTAGCCTAGTTTGTGATGCCACATCATGATTTATTCTTCTCCATAGCTAGTTGATACCACACATGAATTAGCTTCCTACAGGGTTTTTACCTTGAGCATGTATAGATTTACAGCTATATTTTCTCTTTTTATGACAACAAGCGCCCATCTAACAATCTTCATGATCCTATTTTCTATATGGTCATGCATCCGAGCTCATCCAATTGTCCTAAAAATAACATATTCTTCTTCAAGCCTTTCACATGTTATACATCTTGAATAGCGCGTAGTGTACCATCAAATATTTTGATTTTGATAGTGTCAATACCAGAAATCTCCAAGACATGGTCATTGCTCATGAATACAAATCCTCCTGAGATAGGTTCATATTTGTGGAACCATTCTCTCCGGGAGGTCATATGCCAGGAGGCTGCTGAATCCAGAAGCCAGACATCAGCAAACCTCTTTCTGCCTTCATCAACAGTGGTTGTCCCACTGTATAAAATTTCACCATCATCTGACGTACTGACAACACATCCTTGAGATGTTGATGGCTCTGAAGACCTTTTATCATCATTTTTCTTATTGTGCTAACACTCCGATTTTACACGCCCACTTTTGTGACAATTATAGCATTTGATATTCTTCTTACTTCTTGATTTTGATCTACCATGAGTATGACTCCCACTAGAGCCACGTTCCGTTGATCTTCCTCTCGTTCTCGATAAGGCCTCCGCTTGTTGCGAACTTGCATGCCTGTCTTCCTTGTTCTTGCCCCGATTTTCTTCTTCTAGAACAATGGCTGCAACGTTGTCGAAGACTAGATTGTCTGTGGGGACGTTGTTTGTTAGGTTGATAATGAGCTGATTATACGAGTTAGGTAGACTCTAAAATAGAAGTTCTGCACATGCATTCACACCGATTGTATGCCCCAACGTTGTGAGTTAGGAGAATAGTTTGTTTATGGTGTTGATGTGGTCGGTCATTGATGTAGATTTTGTCATGCTCAGAGTGTAAAGTCTTCTTTTTAAGAAGATTTTGTTGTGCATGGATTTTGTCTCATATAGCTTTGTTAGAGTATCACAGATCTTATTTGTTGTCTTCTTCTCCTCTATGCTTGACAACACCCCATCTGCTAATACCATATGGAGATTTTCAATAGTATTCATGTCCATCTCGTTCCACTTCTTATCATCTGTGATGTCATGTGGCCTTGCACCGATGGCCGCTAGATAATTATCTTTTTTAATATAGCCTTTATCTTTAATTTTCCTAATGAGAAATTATTTTCGTTGAATTTCTCAATCTCAAACTTCACCGCCATTACTTCTACCATGAGTAGTAATTTCTTACTATTTCACGTAAGCAGTAACTATATTATGAACAGTAACCGTATCCATGAATAGTACTGTACTTATAAATAGTACGTATTTATGAACAGTACCATACTCGTAAATAGTACTCGTCGCCTTCAAAGAATAAATGATAATCTAATTTATTTTCTTATGTGAAGAATCTACCTTTGGTGGCAGCTACAGAACATACAATAAGTAGATACACGCTCCCTAAGCCAGACTCTGATACCACTTGTTGGGACAAACTCGGGGCTCAATAGAGCAAGGTCCCATCGAATAGTAGAGCAGAAGTAATGAAATGAACACACAGATTTACGTACGTGGAAAACCTCTTAAATGAATTTGGGGTAAAAACCACAAGTAAGGATAGAAGACAAACTTATAATCTTGAAAGACACGTTTGTTGTAATATATGGTATTTTCAGTCAAAGATTTATTTTAGAAACTAGAGAAAGCATCAACTGGTCCCTGGTAACTACAGTTGGATCAATTATATATATAAATCATTAAAATCCTCTATTCTAAGATTTAGCATACTTTTAGTGCATCATGAAAACAATGGACCGGGACTACTAAATACTTTCTCAATATCGTTTTGTATCCTCTTCCAAAATTTTCCTTGTTCCATAGCAATAGTTTTCGCATTGGATACATGTATTAAGTCCAACGTACTTAATTGTTAGACAAAATGTTTTGCTCATTGCATGTAAATACGGTTGTTAGTTAATAATAATATGTTTCTATCCCGATTGCTTTACACACAATATTACTATTTGGGCAACTGGTCATCTTTTCGGCCGGGGTCTCGAGTTGCTTTCTTTCTTTCTTTTTTTTCTTTTGTTAAAGTATTCGTATCAATTCGCTTGCTTTTTGGTGATGACTATGGGGTTGTACGCATAAATAATTGGGATGAGCTTTTCCGTGGATAACACTGATTCACGCTACGTGAGTAACTTTATTAATATCATGCACTTTATTATGTGGAAAGGATACTGATAGCTTTACCCAAGTGTGAATACACGAGTTCTCTTCGTTGTTAAGGATTGTTGTAGGTGTACTCATTAAGTAAAATGATGTTGGCTCAGTGTAGAACTTGCAAAAAAAAAAAATTTAAATAAAAATTAATTGCACATAAACCCTCTGTAACCATCCCTATGTTGAATTACTATTTCTTTAATTTCATTTTGTCATATACCCTGGGCGAAATTTTGGCATAGAACTGCCCTTGGGTGAAACCAGTGAGCATCTGAAGACAGAAGTAGGCGAGTAAAAAAAAACATTTACTGCAAGGGGTCATCTGCAACAACGAAGTTAAAGGGATAGTAAGTTCAAAGTATTAGAAAGGGTTTATATGCAATTAACCCATAGATTAAGTAGTAAGATTTGATCTTCAGGTATCTAGCAATTTAAGCCTTCAATCCTTTTTTTTTTTTTTTTTAATTTATAATCTGGCCAATATATGTTTCTTCTTCTTCTTCTTCCAAAACATTATACTCTAAGTACGGCAACGAGATGATCATAGTTAATAGGCTCTATCTAAACGTTTTATTGTGCATACATTTTCTCCAATTTTTCTCTACACAAGTCTACTTAAATTAAAAATTTTTAAGGGCAATTATACATGTAAAAACACCAAACACTTTATAGATATTTTCCAAAAAGCACTTTTAGATAAGTCCTACAAAAAAGCACTTGCATATAAGTAAAAGCAACATCATAATCATAAATGACTATATGCCCCCGTAAACAACGTGTTAATTGGATATGCGTTTCTTTTATTAAAGGTGTTTTCTTGAAGGGATCAGAAAGGGGGAAAAAAGATACTCAATCAGTCGATAACATGCATTAATAATATACATCTTTCCTGGATGTGACAATTGTCAAATATTTCACTAATGGAAGAAATTCTTACCAATTTAATTTCTTCTTTGCAAAACATGGAAGAACAAGTCATGCACAACGTAATCACAGCTCCATGAATAATATATAATCGCCTGTCTAAAATATTCTAAAGTTTAGAGAAAACTTCTTGAGCATCTAACACCAAAAGATTATACAATGTAAGACAAAGTTGCAAACTAGGTGATAAGAGTAAACGTCAGCATTCCATTCTAATACTTATACCTGATAATGTTTCAGATGCTATGAAATCTCCTCTACTTTAGACATTAGTCATTAATTTTCTTCCAAATTGACAACCACAAAGATAGTGTCCAAAGTTGATCAATTTCAATAATCCAAGATTTCTTCAACATTTAATAAGTAGAGCCGCAAACTATAATCCTGCTTTTATTAAACACCAAAGGAAGCATCCAGTACTGTGAAACAGGAGAGACATAACAAGAAGTTCAATTCACGTAGGGTTAAATATATATATATAAGATAAATAAATAAATTAAAAAATCGCTGTTTTGAACTAACTGCACCTGTAGTTTCATTGTTGCAGAGAGACCCCCTGGTTTATATTTCTTACCAGTGCTAAAATTTTGGTAGGTATTGCTCATGGGCGAAATTAATGAGTCTATTTGAGGGTAAAAGAGTTGAAAAAAAATCAGGTAGCGTTAATTGCAGATATACCCCTGTAGAATAACTGTTTTGAACTATCTGCCCTTGTAACTTCATTTTTGCAGATAGACTGTATATTTCCTACCCGTGGTGAAATTAGTGAGTCTCTACGACGGTTAAGAGTCAATAATAATAATAATAATAATAAAATTCAGGGGGGTCTATCTTTGACGATGACGCCATATGGTAGTAAGTTCAAAACAGCATCACTACAAGGGGTCTATGTGCAATTAGCCCATTCACGTATTACAAGAGTCTTAATGTACCTACCTCAAATGGTCCTTTCACTGTGAGTACTTTCTATGGCTTCCTTAATTCTAGAGGAGTGACTTCAAATTTGTATAAAATTGTCTGGAATCATATTTTACCCAGCAAAGTCAGAATTCTTACATGTTTGCAATCATATTTTACCCAGCAAACTTCATACTAAAGTAAATTTACAAAAGAAAGGACAACAAGGGGATGCTTCATGTTTGCTCTGTGATGAGGAACTAGAAACAAGAGATCATATTTTCTTCTCTTGTCGGCTGCCTTCACGAGTCCGAAAGTATTTTGTTGATCAGATGAACTGGATACAGTGACCAACAACTTTTGATAGTTTTATGGTCATGCTTGAAAAGTTGCTCAATGTCAGAAACAAAAGGATGCTTATGGAGGACAATTTTTCTCGACTGTTAGTGACGCATATGATCTGCTATAAATAGATGCGTCTTCCATTCCTCCCCTTTCTCTCATGCATCTGTTATCAATTCTGCTGTAACTTCCATTCATGAGTGCGCAACTATGACAAATGTGAAGACTGGAAAGAAGATGAAGGCTACTCTCAATGAACACCGCTTCCCTTGGTGGTTGATACAAGAATGGAATGAGGCTGCAGAGTAGGAAGAAACAGAGAAAATCATTTTGCATAAGATGGATGGATCTTTTGGTTTTAAATAAGGAAGTTATGGGTAACAAACGCTGGAGTGGGATGTTTTTATTTTTATTTTTTTTATTTTTTTATATATTTTGTTGGTATTTAGAACCCTCATTTTCTGTCTCTTACATGTAGGGTTGTGGCTTTGGTTCCTCTATTTATCTATGCTTGCGGTGAATGATGACAAAGTCCCATCTTCACCCTCATGGATACAGGGAGGAAGAAGGTTCTGCATCACTTGGTCACAGAAAATATTGTGTATAGAGTCCAACATTTTGGACACAATTTGTGCCCTCATGTACTGTTATTTGATTTTGATTCTTAATATAATTGCACGGGGGATGTGCCCCCTTGTTTTTCTTTCAAAAGAAAAAGCCTTAGCGTACCTTGCTTTATCTCTCTTTTGATCTGAAGCAAAGATTACATAGTTTGGGAACACTAGATAAATAATCACCAAAAAGGTACAGAACTCTCTTCGAGAGGAGAAAGGTACAAATAACCATAAAAATGAAGAAACCGCGATGAATTTTGGTAAAGAACATGTTTTGGAAGCGCATGAGTTTGTTTGGGAGCTGAGCGGTTGACCGCGGCGCATGGCCGGTCGACCGCGAACGTGCACAGACTCTAGGAGTCTGGATTTGGCGGCGGTCGACACGCGAGCCCATGTAGGACATTTTGGGCTCTATCGTTTGTTGTGGTTGACCGCCGCGGTCGACCGTCAGACCTTGTAGAAATTTTCCATGTCTGTTTGTTGTTCGGCGGTCGACCGTGGCGGTCGACCGCGTAACGGGTCAGGCCCAGTTTTGGTTTCCTATTCTTATTGGGTTTTGGTGTTTGTATAAATATCAATATACGTTCTAGGGTTTTTTAAGGCAAGAGTTTGGGATATTTGGAGCACAGAAAAGATGTATTTTCTGAGCTATTTGATTAGGGTTTATTTGGAGAGGTTAAGAACTTTGTTGGTGAGATTAGTTTGTTACTTCGAGTGATTTGTAATCTCAAGTTGTACTCTTCTTCTCTATTAGTGAAAACCTCATCCCCTTCTTGTCCCGTGGATGTAGGCAATTGCTGAACCATGTTAAAATTGGTGTTTTGTTTGTGCATTGATTTTGATTGGTTTTGGCCCTCTTTGATCGGCATTTGGTTTGGTTCCTCGACACGATTTTCAACAACAATTTGGGTTTTCCCCAACAATTGGTATCAGAGCTCGGGCTACGCTTGGGCTATTTGGAGGAGTAGATCGATTTGAGAAGCTCGTCTAGAATTTCAGTTGGTGAGAAATGTGGGATCTTTTTGGTTAAGCTTCTTTCTTTTCTCAGTTTTGGATATATTCTTTGTTTGTTTCCGCAGTGGTTATTGGTGTGTTGAGGATTATGGCCGAGAAAGAGGGAGTTGAGGGTGGTTCTTCAGGTGTGAAGACTGTCCAATGTTTGAGTATCCACTCAATGAAGATTGACGTGGAGAAGTTCAATGGCACTAACAATTTTGGACTTTGGCGATGCGAAGTCTTTGATGCACTCAATGCGCAGAATTTGGAAGATACGTTGGAGTTGGACGGGAAATCGGACGATATTGATGAGAAAGTTTGGAAAAAGATGAATCGGACAGCGTGTGGTGTGATTAGGTCTTGTCTCACTCAAGATCTAAAATATGATGTGATGAATAAAACTTCAGCTAAGAAGATGACGAAGAGCGTCGAAAACCGCTTGCATTTGAAGAGGAGGCTTTATCGCTTCCAATTGAAGAAGAGGACATCCATTAGTGATCACATGAACCACTACACGAAGCTTCTTACAGATTTGACGAATGTAGATGTCATTATTGAAGATGAGGACAAGACGTTGCTATTGTTGAGTTCTTTGCCCGACGAAGAATATGAGACATTTGTCATTACTCTTATTAATGGGAAGGCATCTCTTTCATATAGTGAGGTCACCGCTGTATTAGTGAATTACCAACTTAGGAAGAAGGATAAGGAGAGTTCTATTGAGCCGGTAGCGGGGGCATTGGTTGCAAGAGCAAATGATCCAAACCGAGATAGAAGGTCACAGTCTAGAGGGGCACATCTTAGAATTCGTAGGAATCAGTGTGCTTTTTGTAAAGAATATGGACATTGGAAAGCTGAATGCCCAAAGTTAAATGATCAAACCGGAAAGAATAAGGGAAAGCTATTCAGGCTTTAAAGGTGAATGTTATCAAGGCTAGTGGCAACCTATGAAGCACGGACACGCATAACATGAAGTCGTGTCGTGTCGTGTCCGTGTCGGACACACATGTCGAACACACGTATCCTATGTATTTTTTAGGATTTGCCTCGTGTCGGCGTGTCGGATGGCCGTGTCGGATCCGTGTCCGTGCTACATAGGTGGCAACGATTCAGATTCAAATTCTTCAGGCTACTCTTTATCTGCAGTGCCGTCAGTTTGTATTGCCTACTCTACAGAGTGGATGTTAGACTCGGGTGCTACATATCATATTTGTCCTAGGAGGGATTGGTTCTCCAGCTTTCAGGAGTTGAAAAGAGGGGATTTTGTGCTTATGGGTAATGATCATGAATGCCCTATTGGTGGTATTGGCACCGTTCGGATTAGTTGGAGTGAGATTCGTTCCTCAGTTGAAGAAGAACATCATTTTATTTGGAGCTTTGGAGACAGCAGGCTATAGGATGACATTGGTGGATGTACGTTTAAAGGTTACATTTGGTCCATGATTGTGATGAAGGGCGTCAGAAGGAGTAACGTATACTATTTGCTTGGGAGCACGGTGATTGATAGAGCTCTGACGACTTCATTAGATTTGGCTAGATTGTGGCGTAGTTTGATGCTGGGTTATTTGATTGGTGATGCCGTGCATAGGTTGTTGAGGAGTGCTTTGACCTGCAGATGGAAGTCCTTTGAGCACATTGGGATGAGCAAAACCACAGTGAAGTTTGACACTTCTATCCATCGAGCGAGAGGTCTTTTATGAGGTGTTCAGTCAGGTATTTGGGGGCCTTCCAAAGAGACATCATTGGGAGGTAATCGTTTTGTAGTTTTCGCAGTTAGTGATTATTCTAGGCAATATTGAGTCGCGACTAGTTCCCGTTGGTGTAAAGTTCTAGAAGTCAACAACGATTGGAAGAAGTGTATTGGCAGAAAGGTAACTCGTTGTTCTAGCTTTGATAGGGGTCCTTTATTGCGTTTGTGCCGAGCTCATGGCAACTTAAAACACTTCATTGATATGGAGACTTTGGGACGACAAGATGAGATGACAGTTTCGATGTGTCGTTCCTTTCTGGAGGAGGATCGGCGTTGGTTGTCGAGCATTGGTTCTGATTCTGGAGTTTCGACATAGCGTTTGTGCCGAGCTCATGGCAACTTAAAACACTTCATTGATATGGAGACTTTGGGGCGACAAGATGAGATGACAGTTTCGATGTGTCGTTCCTTTCTGGAGGAGGATCGGCGTTGGTTGTCGAGCTTTGGTTCTGATTCTGGAGTTTCGACATATTTGGGTCATCTTAGTCATACACCGCCGACTGCTGTATTAGGAGTTATTGGATCTGGTGGAGCTGCTTCAGATTTTAGTTGGCGTCAGATATTTGAGTACCCAGTATTTGGTCACATCGAGGATGTGAGATTTGATCCGATTGCGCGTTTGGGATTCGGAAGCTCATTTGATTATCGTTTGGGAGCTTCTGATTTTGTTCTGAACAGGAATATCACTTTTGACTCTCAGCAGGTGAAGAGTGTTGATCAGATCATTTGGATATCGCAGCAGGTGGAGGGTGATGCTACTTCACGTTGGGTGGAACTTATTCCACATACTCTAGATCATATTGCATCATTTGGGATTCCAGCTGAGGTGGCACAGGTTGGGGAGCATTTGATTTTGGATGTAGATGATGGATCGTTTTTGGATTCGGTTGCAGCTGATGGACATGATTTGGATACGTCCATTGGTTCACCTCAGATGGAGGTGTTTGATTTGTATCAGTTTGGGGCCGTTATCAGTTGCAGATCCGTTGGCGATATTGATGAAGAGTTGCAGACTTTTCTATTTGTTTGAGGACCTTTGGAGACCGTTTGGGTGAACTACGTAAAGGCTTGATTCCTTTAACAAAAGGATACGTAGGCAGTCTTTATGATGCAGCCGATTTTGGTAAGTAGATACCGACGTTTGGGTGAGTGTTCGCACACCCGTTTGGATCTCGACTTGTTGAGGATTGAGAAGCAGCAAGTGAGACATTTGGCTTGGTTGGTGTCGGATCAGTTTTTAGTAGAAACTTCGTCGAGATGGAGAATTGAAGAAACCGCGATGAATTTTGATAAAGAACAGGTTTTGAAAGCGCATGAGTCTATTTGGGAGCTGTGCGGTCGACCGCGGCGCAAGGCCGGTCGACCGCGAACGTGCACAGAATCGGGCTCTGTCGTTTGTCGCGGTCGACCGCCAGACCCTGTAGGAGTTTTCAGGTTCTGTTTGTTGGTCGCGGTCGACCGTGACGGTCGACCGCGTAATGGGTCAGGCCCAGTTTTGATTTCTTGTTCTTATTGGGTTTTGGTGTTTGTATAAATACCAATACACGTTCTAGGGTTTCTTAAGGCAAGAGTTTGGGATATTTGGAGCACAGAAAAGAGGTATTTTCTGAGCTATTTGATTAGGATTTATTTGGAGAGATTAAGCTTTGTTTGTGAGATTAGTTTGTTCCTTCGAGTAATTTGTAATCTCAAGTTGTACCTTTCTTCTCTATTAGTGAAAACCATGTCCTCTTCTTGCCCCGTGGACGTAGGCAATTGCTGAACCACGTTAAAATTGATGTTTTGTTTGTGCATTGATTTTGATTGGTTTTGACCCTTTTTGATCGGCGTTTGGTTTGGTTCCTCGACACGGTTTTCAACAACAATTGGGGTTTTCCCCAACAAAAACCCACAGACTTAAGCATCATACAGCGACATTGGGCAATAGCCCCGATGATCACCTTCTTATTGATCCTCTACAATGTTGGGTTTGACTAGTCACGCACACCAATGTAATTATTCATCGTCTTCTAAGTCTTTTGAGCTTAGCGAATAGAGTAAATTGCGATACACTCCTCTATGATGGTGGAATCACATATATCCCCTTAATTATTTTACTAACACTCGCACATTCTTAAGAAGGATTGCCCAAAAGTTAAGAGGGCAATTTAGTCTTTCTTCCCTTAAACTGATGGCAAAAGATAAATTCGCCATAGGATTCTCTTGTGCACCAAAAGGGAGAAACAATACTCCCTGAGTTCAATAGATTTTGAGATGTAAGTGCCCCTAAAATAGTTAAGGGGTGCAAGCAACTACATCCTCTAGTACTTCATCCGCAATTAACCAGAGAAAATATGTTCGCTGATCTATTTACGATATTTTGCAAAAATGATATAAATGGTTTTAAATGATCCTAACCTGTGATAGCCACAATGGGATCTCACAACAAGAAAAAAGATGTTCACAATGAGATCTTACAACAAGAAACAAGATGTTCACCAAGTGTTTAACTAAAAAGATAATAGTCAACAGAAACTAGCAGTTAACAAGTGTAACTGAATATTCATTCATTTGTAATTATAAGTTATAAATCATGATCAACACATGTAAATGTTACTTTACCTCCAACTGTTGAGGCGCTTTTATTATGTAGGAAAAATCCCTGAGCTCTTGCAGTTTATGAAAATGTTGTATAAAACAATTTGATCAATTACATGGATGAATCTCAGAAGCTGCTCTGAGAAACCCAACCCTTTTTCTCCAGTGCTAAACGCAATGTCTGCAACACAAAACATAAGAAAATAATCAAAACCACTAAAGAAACACCCTGTTCTCTTTTTATTTATAATTCTCTTTAAACCTTAATTCTCTTCCTGTTGACATCAAAGTCAAAATTTCCCAAACGAGATGCGGATCGATACTGAACAAGTGATTTCTTGCCAGGTGGGAACCAAAACTCCACGTCATCTACAAACTACACATAAAAAGGATGTGCTTATTTTTCAATTTATTCATTTAGGTGGAAGAATAAATTACTTCTAGAAGAATAAATTACTTCTAGATTTAGCATATAAACTATTTAAGGTAATAAAAGAAGTTACCCCCATTATAGGACTCTCATATTCAACACGAATATAGTCTTCTTTTTTCTCTACAATACGAGGAGTAAAATTGTCAGGCTTTGTTGTGTTTATCTGTCAAGGTCAGAAATTTGGAGAGGTTTTATGGTCAGTCAGTTTTCCAGCAAACAAAACCACTAAATTAAAAGGTAGTGTGGAACCTAATATGCACAAATTAACATTTTTGTATAAACAAAGTAATACAGAAGCAAATATCACTACCACTTGAAGAAGCTCTTCCATGGCTTCTTCTTGGCTGGCGGGCTTTTTTCTTTTTCCATCTTCAGGGTTGTAATTCCTTGGAGGAAAATTGTGTTAGAATAATAAAATTATAACCCTCAATCCTCACTACAACTTCGAATTTCTAGTGTAGTGGCAGGTCCTATAACATCGCATTACAGTAACATAGGTTCGAATTTTGCTGGCCATGAATATTTAAGCAAAGTTAGAAAAAGTGATACTACTTCACGAGTCCATTTTTGTGCCCAGTAAGAGCCCTCAACCTCATAACTTTAGAGTTTTGGTGCAATTGTAACTTGTAAGTGTTAGTCAATTAATGCTGCCACCGAAAGCAAGGGGGGGCAGCCATTTTTGATAAAAAATGCAAAAGAGCATGTGGCTCTTTTCTTGTCAAAAAGATCATGCCACCGAATTTCCAATCACCTCCCATCACTGAATTACGTGCCGCATTTTTTGAAAGAAGAAAAGTGGGCGGGCCCCACCAGTATTAAAATATTAGTGCATAGTGTTTTCCCAAACACTATAAATAGACCTCAAACTCTTAAGGAAAATCTCATCCCAGAAACAACTCCTCTTATAGAAGAATAAGAGAGAGAAAAGAGAGGCTTAGAGAAAAGTCTTTGTGAGAGAAAATTGAGAGCAATTTTCAGAGTGGGATTGAGTTGTGAGAAAACACAAGAGTGTTGTAAAATTTTCTTCCAAATAGTGAAAGATCTGCAGCAGCCCGTGGACGTAGGTAATTTTGTGCCGAACCACGTAAATCTTGCGTGTCCCCCAATTTGTGCGCATTTATTTTTCGCTTTCTCTTAAATCTGACACTAAGGGAATATGAGTAATTTCCCAACAGTAAGGACTTTGAGAAATTAGTTCATTTGAACTGTCATCAAGCTCAGACATGGCCAAGGTAGCACTTGATGTTTATTGGTGTAATTGGGCATTAAGGAAGATGGAAACTAATGGGATATTGCAGAAATGATGCCCTGAATATCTGGATTATATGCACTAGTAGTATATGGTGTTGAAGGAAGCTTACCACGGAGGAGCAAAGTGAGTAAGATCAGTCATATCCTCTGAAGTAGATAGACAGTTGTTGGTTGCAGGACATAAAGCCAGAGATGGAGGGTTCTTTTGCACTCCGAGATAGTTAGGCTTCGTCCCACTTCTCATTTCCAAGCATGGACATCAGTAAGGGACATAAAATATCATTAAACTAACTTTTGACTTCAAAAGTTATTCATGATATAATAAACATAATGCAGCTGATGCTAGAAAAAGAAACTAGGAAGGAAAAAAAGTTGGAATAATGAGATTAAATGCAGAGATTCCCGTTATCCGACCAAGAGAGGGCTAAATAAGTACTTGAGTGATTTGTACTTTAGAACAGAGTGCAACATGAGTTTATCCGACCAAGAGAGGGCTAAATAAGTACTTGAGTGATTTGTACTTTAGAACAGAGTGCAACATGAGTAACTACTTTTATCAGTAATTCAAATAAGTACTTGAGTGATTTGTACTTTAGAACAGAGTGCAACATGAGTAACTACTTTTATCAGTAATTCTTGTTTCACATGGCAGCAAGCAATAATAAGATGAACACCTGCAACTTGGTTGGGCGAAAATCATACAGATACTTGGTGTCCTTCGATGTCATGTTGCACTTCTGCCTTTTGTTTACACTAAACATGTTTCTTTTGTTTATACTTAACGATATATTGCTATTCTTATTTTCAAACATTAGTGAGGCCTTCCATCTCTCCAAGTATAGGTGGAGCATTTCTCTTGGAAATTAAGTAGCAAACCTTGACATTTGACCTCCGTGTTGTTGAGGTTGTGGCCTGGATTGCAATCACTAATATTAAAGATATATTTTGGAAACGGAAAAAGGAGACTGATATATGCTTAAGTATAATTGGATTCAAGAACCCAAAAGGCATTTTCCCTTTTGGATCATATTCAAGCTCTATTACAATTAACCAACCATAAAGTTAACGGCCCTTTCCTACTACATTTGTCGCAAAGTAGCATGTCTTACTATCAATCCTCTTCATGTTCCTCTTTGATGACTTGTTTGGCAGTTGTTGCAATGCAAACATACTAATCAATATGATTCTTTAGGTCTCATTTAATTTATGAACTTATTCCATTAGTAACAGAAATTGGACTGTTACCAACTTACCCAACTCAAATCATATATCACGAAGCAAAACTAATGGTAACAATTTTTAGTTTCTATAATTTTCTAAAAAGTTTTTCTTTTCTCTTCCCCTTTTGGGATAACTGACTAAAATCCCATGACCTCTACTAGTTGTTTGTTCATGACTAATTGGTACTTCCAGCCTTGGATAATATTAAGGCGCATATTGAATTTAAGGTCGCCCACTGTTCGAGGTGTAGTGTTTGGACGGTAATATGCAGAAGTTTTGCCAGTATGAGAAATCAATGGCTCCTTACCCTACGCACTCATCAGCACAACCTCTTTTTTCCTTTTCTTCTTTCCATGAACAAAGCACCACATTTGGCAAGTGAAGCTCTCATTGAGGGATAAATAACTCATTGAGGAGAGTTGAAGTTGTTAGAGTATAAAATTATTAACTCTCAACTCCCAACGTAACCTCAAAATTTTCATATAATGACAGGGCCAAGATAACTCAGGTTTAATTCCCACCGGCCACAAATTTAAAGCAGTTTTTGAAAAAATGGTAGTGCTGCGCGGGCAGTGGCGGACCTGTTCCCGTTCAAAATGGTTCAGTTGAACCACCTGAATTTTTTACTACTATATAGATAATATACATATGAAATTTACACGTATAGGTGACTTAGCCTACTGGTAAGGGTCCTCTTTCTTTATTTAACTCACCTGGGTTCAATTCTCAACCAAAGCATAATTGTTTTCTTTTGGCTAGTAAGATTCTCCTAATGTAGAATTATTTACTTTTTGGCAATAAGATCCTCCCATCTAGAATTATTTACTTTCTTGGTATTCCTAATTGATTCCTAAGAAACTCATTTAAGAATTCTACACCTTTGTGAAAAAATATTGTGTCATCTATTACTCTACCTTAAAATTCTTTTATGCTATCGTGTTTACAAGGACGTTTTTAGTATTGCATCGCAGAGTAAAATCACTAAAAAATGTATATTTCGAACCACCACTCTAAATGACGTAGATCCGCCACTGTGCGCGGGTCCAGGTTTCGGCCTAAGAAAAGGGCGTTCAAACTGCAGGGAGGGCATGTTAGAGTATAAAATTATAATTGTTCACTCTCGCCATAACTTAGGAGTGTTGGTGCAGTGTAAGGGTCCTTAGACGGAAACCACAAGGAAATGATTTTTGACAAAACAAACACATAAACATGCAAAAGGATATGCCACGCTGTTTGAGGATCAAGTAAACAATGGTCCCGGTACATAGCGAATTTTTCCTCTCTGTTTGAGATTCATTCCTTTTCTAGGATTAATGTGTATCAGTATCCAATCTACTCTAGTGTATCTCCACACCAGTAACATTTCCTGTACACAAATTGATTTACAAACAATTTGATACACATTATATATTTAGGGCAAAAGAAAATCTACACAAACGGCATTAAGTTGATTAATCTTAATCCAACACATAACAATAGTAAAATTTGCTCAAAATAAGTCTAAACTTAGCAGACCCACTAGCATTAAAAAGCCTAAATGTTAAATTAAGGTGTGGAAATATAGAAAAAAGGAAAAAGAGTACCTGAAATGGAAAATGGCTGCAAATGTTGCTAGTCCACTGCTCCTCAGCACAACTTCCCTTTCCCCAAAAAACGGACTTAACATGTAAATATACTGATACGTATGAAATTTGGGGTGTGTGTGTGTGGTTGTGTGTGGGGGGGGGGGGCGGGGGGGGGGGGGGTGGGGGGGGGGGGGGGCGTGTAAAGGAACTATCCTTCTTCCAATTTGGGGCTGAGTTGATGCTGAATCTTGCTGAGGGGAAGCTGTAGCTTTTGGAACCAAGCGAGATGAAGCATAACAGAGAGAGGACATCTCTTTCGAGAGGCTGAAAGCCCCTTGCTCGCTCTACTTTCTGACCCTCCCAGCGGTAGACTACATTTACGTAAAAGCCCAACAGTATTATCAATTTGTCACTAGTAGAAAGGTCTGCCTTAGGGCATCTCCAACCATACCCTCCAAATTTCACCCTCCAAATTAGAATATTCTAGGAATATTCCAATTTGGAGGGTGAAATTTGGAGGGTTGCTCCAACCCACACTCTCCAAATGTTTTTTTTATTTTTTATCAAAAAAACCATATAAATTAAATAATGTTGGATATAGTTTATGTTAATAATTTTATTGTTAATAATTTATTTGGAAAAAAATTTATAACATTATAAATGTGTCGATGAGAGCTTTAAAATGAACCCGATATTAATACTGCAATACAAAAATTTATAACATTATAAATGTGTCGATGAGAGCTTTAAAATGAACCCGATATTAATACTGCAATACAACATATTAAAAAAGAAGATCTCAACATATTAAAAAAAAATTATAACATTATAAAGGTGTCGATGAGAGCTTTAAAATAGATCCTCGTATTTAAAATTTCATGTCTGATACTTATTTATTTAATTTAAAAATTAATAATTTTATAATAATACTAAAATAAATTAATCTTAGTTTCATTTTAAAGATCTCAACGAGCCCTTTCCAAATATATAATGATTTCAAATATTAGATTAATAATTTTTTAACTATATTTATTTGAAATTAAACATCTAATTTAAATTACTAAGAAGGATGGCAAAATAGTAATTTTTAAGAAACCAAATAGTTAAAATGGCAAAATTGTAATTAAAAACTCATGAATAGTGTTATGGAGAGACCCTCCATTTTTTCTCCCCACCCTCCAAATTTGGAGGGTCAAATTTGGAGATCTCCAAATTTGGAGAGTGGTTGGAGAGGTTCCACTCTCCAAATTTGGAGATTTTGGAGATATGGAGGGTGGTTGGAGATGGTCTTATTCAATTTATGACAGGCATGAGTCGACTTATATAGTATAAGTCGACTTGTTAATTTTTGACCCCACGCATTTTAGAACCCCAAATTGTTGAAATTGCTATCTATTCAATTAACTTTTATAAGTTAATGTTGAAATTATACCTCAAAACCCTCAATTGTTCAAATCACCCTATGGATCGCCGATGATCAAGAGGAGGCCACCAATGATTATTACATTGATCATCGATGTGTTATGGTGAACACTCGGAGAAAAACAAAAATTTGAATTTGAACCATTGATGGACTATAGCGAACCATCAATGATCGATATCAACCATCGACGATCTCTTTTAACCATCAATGATTTACACGCGTTTTTTGCAGATTTCCAGATTTAATCTCAGACATTCATGTTTCTTTTTATCTCTAACTCCTACCAAGTTTTGGATACCTCTTTCCTGATATATTCTGGTCTCTTATATATTAAAATAGAGAGAATTTCGATTTAAGGGTTTTAATGATTATTGTGAGAATTAAAAAGGAGAGATTGAGAGTTTAGACATTTGTCTTATTTTGTACTTCTCTTTTGATAGTGGTGTTAGGTCCTTTATTTTGATGATGATTTACAAACACCATTATTGGTGCTAATTATGTATTGAGCTATATTGTAGACTATAATTCATTAGCACCATAGATGGAGGATTGGATGGAATATGAACTACAACGACGATATCTAGAGGAGGTGGAGGCAAAGTGATGAAGCAATGTTTAATCAAGAACATCATATGCAATAAGAAGCTTCATCAACTCAAAAGCAATATCAAGACTCAAGAAATATATTTCTATGTGAGAGATATTTGCTACTTTTATTTTCTCTCTAATGCTAGAATGTAGGTAAGAAGTTTATTGATTATATTTGAAGCTCATGGGATAACACACTTGCACATTTTCAAAACTCGTATTTTGACACTTTTGCTAAATTGATGATTTTCACAAATACGAGGACATTTTTGCAAAATTCCTTTTCAAACAAGTTTGTCAAAACATTTATAAACTGTTTACAAAATTTCACATTTTTTGGAATTTATTTACTATTTTTTTATAGAGCACTGAAATTCAATTTCGAAATCGATTCGGGCTGATAACATGTTATCAGTCGACTGACCAGTCGACTGATGAAGTCAGTTAACCAATGTGTCGACTGATGAAAATGTATGGAATCATCTTTTTGCTTTCTGTTCTGTTTCGGTCGACTGACCAGTCGACTGATGAGATCGTCAGTCGACTGAAATGATCATCAGTCGACTGATGAGCTGAATATCGTATACAACGTTCAGCTCATCAGTCGACTGATGCTTCCCGTCAGTCGACTGATGGGTGCTGTAACGGCTATATTTGTTCTGTTTCAGAAATTCGATTCTCTCGGGATTCTGTCTGGTTCTTTAGGGTTTTGGCTGCAGTTTTCTCTCATTATAAATACCTATCAACCCCATCTACCTCAGTACCAAGCTTTCATTGCAAATTACTTGAGTTTAAGTTTATTGTTTTCAAAAGAGCTTCAACTTTCATTTGCTTTCACTATTTCTAAGTGTTGGCCTTCTTGTTTTGATGATGTTTAACAAACAGTTTACTTCTAATGTTGTTTGTCTAATGTTTGTGTTTTCGTATTTATTCTAGGAAAACAACGAGTTGGAGAATGGATGGAATCGAGCATTCACGATCATATCCAATGGAGGTTGACGGAATTGTGGTATGAAGCCTATGCAATTCAAGTTGAAGATCCAAGTTCAAGCTTCATCCGCAAGTGTACCAAGTTGAGCTACAATGAAGATCAAGATCAAGCTTGGGTAATTTAGTTTAGGAGTTTATATTATGTGTGTTAATACCTTAATTAAGCGCTCAATATAATATACACACACACATTTATTGGTTTCCATGTATATATATATATATAGTTATATATATACATATATGTTTTGGTTTGATAGTTTTCAAGTTTTACTATGAAATAATTAAATATAATTAGAAAACATATTTTAGTTTCATACTTTTATGCACATATTGTAGGCATGTAAAATTGCTTATAGGTCCCTTAGCTCAGCTCAGTACAAACCGACAAACCAACGAGGCGACGAGATCGACGAATCGCATCAAGCGACGGAATGCATCCATACACGTGCGGGATCAAGCCAAGTGTTCGAAGAGTCAACGAGTCATCCAACCAAAGGCATACTCGGACGAATGACGATCGAATCAAGATCGGTTTCGGACTCCAACTCAGAAGCGGATTTACTGCCTAATCGGGATCCGGATTTACTGCCAAATCAGATCAACCAAATCAAAGACTAAGTTAATCAAATCACGGACAGAACCAAAGGCGGAAAACACCAAAAACCACCACCTAGAGGGGCTCGGCCGAAGCCGAGCCAACTTCAGGTGGCTCGGCCCAAGCCGAGCCACCTCAAGGTGGCTCGGCCCAAACCGAGCCACCCTGGGGTGGCTCGGT